ATCTGCGAGGTGGACCAACCGCTCTGGAACGGCTGCATCCACGACAACAGGGCAGTGGTGTACAGGATGGCCTTGGGCTTGATGAGACGAGCGGCAGCCTTGTTTGCTTCATCGAAGGTGTTGACTGGTGCAGCTCCACCCTTGAATGGGGAGTTGGCGACCTCGTAGTTGTCGCTATCTTGCATCTTCTCTAGTTGAGTTTGGACAGAAATTTTCCTGTTAGAACAGTAGTTGTTGTAGTGGTTGTTGTATCCACGGCAGAACAGGCAATGAAGAGAACTGCTGGGCTCGCTTATGAGCTTCGGTGAGGCACCGATAGCCTTCCTATCTTGTGAGCCTTCGGTGGTGGAACGGCAATCCATAGAGATACGCTTTTCATGTTGAACCTCAAGATCATCAGATGGTCGTTATGCACATTGCATGAGCCCTGTTGAGCCATTTCTTGCTTGGAGCTTAGCACCATTTCCAGACGTAGTCAGTTCGAAGTCGATCCACATGGTGTATGTTCCCCATTACCTCTGCCACTTGTTGCATTAGGTTAAAGCCAAATATTTACATGTTACATGCAAGCCGAGGAGTGAATTTCTTGCGTCTCGTCTTCAGAAGAGATCAGGGTTGTCATTGCTCGCATTCGGCGGAGTCATACGGTCACGGATGGTTGGTCAGGTGGATGCCATTTTTGGAGCACCATGCACGACGGGCTGCATGAAATTGGGTGATCAAGACGATAGATCAAGTGCTAACCAGTTCATGTGCGACAGCGGCGACAAGCTGGTGCGGTGACCTTCAGCCGGGCTCTAATGATTCTGGGTCTAGGTCCTCTGGCAACCAAGCAGCATCGTTTGCGCGGGGAAATCATTTCGATGGATGTCGTGTCACTCGGCTCGTGTGCCTAGATAGTAGAGTTTTTTTCTTTAAAAAAAAATAGCCATCTCGACATAACAAAAACGTTAAAGTCGGTCGAAACAACAAAACAGTAAAAGAAACAGCTCGCGTAGCTACCAGCTTTGGCCGAGTTTGAAGCGGACACAGGTATAAATATTTTGTTTGGCTAAGACACTTTATTAAGTGAGCGTGGCACACTGGTATCGGTAAATGTAAAAACAAACAACAGTAATGAGATGCTGGGTTCAGGGATTGATAGCAAGGTATATGATGGTGCCATAACTCAGAATTCCATTGTGATTACCGGTACTATGCATATATATAATAATTTAAATATGCAAATAATGCATATGTATAATAATTTAAATATGCAAATAATGCATATATATAATAATTTAAATATGCAAATAAGCACGGAATATGCCTCAATTCGCCACCATTAAAAAGCTGTCATGTCAACTCCTCGGTTAGCCCATGATCGATCTGCTAATACAGAGGACCTCTGAGAACAAAAAAGAAACGAACTGCTGAATAATACGCAATAGCATCGAATGATGAAAAATATGCCTTACTATTGAAAAGTATTACGATCGCAGCAGTTTAGCGGATCCATACAATGAGCAAGTTGCCATATTTATCACGAAAATAACGCGTATCCACGGTGCGTGTTGGTTGGGCGTGCAAGCTGCACTTTTTGTTTTGACAAATGTTGGGACTAGTAAATTACCAGGTGAACAATCAGCAGATTCTTCCTTAGCGCGAACTAAAATTACGAGAATTTTCTGGTAAGGTCCGTTTGTTGATTTCTCAAATATAAACGTGTTAACTGTAAGAAAAAAATAATCTGTCTGAGATCTTAACCGTTTACCACACCATGGTATCAATCTGCACTGTCATGCATACAAAAATGGCGCGGCTACACGTGCCGTGGCACTGTAACCGCAGCATTACCCACGACATCGTTTATATGAAGTATTTTTCTAACCTAAATGCCATTTTTGAAGTACATGTACGGGGGCCAAGGTTAATGTTTAATTATGATAGAATAAACATGATTTACCACTACAGCTTTTACAAAATTTTTTTCGATTTTGGTGCATCACGACGTACGGGGAAATTAACACGTCGTGCTGAAGAAGTCCTGAAATATGGGCAAACACTAAACAAACAGATCTAAGTGAGGTTTATCCAATATGTATGCTCTTGGATCAACGCCATAACAGCACCTACTTTAGGACTACTTTTTAGTCCCTATCACTTCACCTTTGGAGATGCTCGAAGCGCATCTTTCCTATTTGACAGCATTTCATAATCAGTTTAGCAGGGTTTTGTTGAATCCACATCCAACTCGCATCCAAGAAAAAATCCTATAGTAGAATCCTTGCACGCGTATTTTACACGTATTTATAAACTGTGTGTAAAATACACCAAGCAAAATATCTTAAATAGGCCTCAAAATTAATTACTGGGAATATGAGCCCTTGCTGTACATTATTGGAGATACCCAGCATTTTCTTATTATGAACCAACTTTCAACCAAGTTCTATCTATTAAGTGACTTTAGCTGGAATTCAAGTATATTGCTACTCCACTAGAGCAATTACTCCAGCACAACTGAGAGTGCTGTACCAGCTACCAGAATGCTATCAAGTATATTGAGTCCATAACCGCAGAATCACAACCGGGTTTCAGCATCGCTGTCTACATCCTCAGACCCCACCGAAACCGAGCTGTAATAGCTCGTTCGACGGCGATACGCCGTACAAAGTCTTGCCGCACGGTTGGCTTGGTAGCGCTTTCGCTTTTTCTTTTGTTTTTCCAGAAGCTCTGTGCCAATCTCACACAAACGAGCGTCGTACTTGCTGTAGTCTTTGCCGTCGTCACCGCGAAGTGGTCGTAGCCGCACATGAACGTTGGTAAGAGCCACACATGCACGGAAGTAGAGATCGTAGGACGCCTCGTCGAACCTCCACTTGTCAGAGCAGATACCCCAGAGCGTCTTAAGTCTTCCAAAGAAATTCTCGACGATGACGCGGTCACGAGCCAGCTTGTCATTATAGCAGGCGTCTTCCAAAGACAGCGGCTGCAACCGCTTGCTTTTCACGGGTGGATTGCACGGCACTCCCGTGCCATTCCCTGATAGCCCTTGTCTACAAGTACTGCCCAATCTTTGGGGTAGACTTCGTGCAATCGACCTTCGTCACGAAGCCCACGATCGTCTTCTTGTTTACGCATTGCTCGTGCGTGAAAGGCGACATTATCCTTGAAAATGGCGGCGTCGTGCGTACTCCCTCCTGTGTGATCAGTGCAATTGATGGCAAGGCCATTCGGAAGCACTGACACTTCCACTTTGTAGCCATACAGGTGGTGTTTACCGCTGTAGTAGGGCTTGATCTCGTTCATGTTGCCGGCGGGCTTATTTGCCTGCTGGAAGGTGACATCCGTTGCGTATCGGGCGTACGGAAAGTTTTGGAACGCATGCCCCGAACGCACAATCTTGCCTAGCGTCCACTTATCGTTAATAGATTCCACAAAAGCCTCGTATAGGAACGGCGAAGCGGCGTCCATGAACCTCCTGACCATTTTCTGGAAAGAGGATGGCGGAATCTTAAAAACGCGAGAGACAATGTCCCATTTTCCGAGATGCTTGAGGGTAGTTAGCGTCATAAAGAAGACGTAGCGAGCGGCGTAGCGGCATTTCTTGCCGCGCCCAACGTTCCAGTGCTCTTTCACGTGAGGGTATACGACAGTCCAAAGCTGTTCAAACTCCTCAGGTGCAAATTTGGAGAACTTGAGAGCTCCTTCTGGTCCTTCCGCCCGCAAACAAAACTCGTACACAGACGGCAAGGTAACAGCAATAGATTCGCTCCCGTCGTCGGAGTCACTTTCGTTGTCAGGGACGACGACCTGAGGGATCTTGGCTTTGCGCCTTTCGTCTCGCTGAAAAAGATCGGCGGTGGAAGCACGGAAATCCGCTTCATCTAGTGCCTCTCCGGCATGATCTTGGCGTTTTTGGGCTCGTGGCATGGTGAACTGGTTGAGTACGTATCAAATTCCGAAATGAGCCCCACAACTGCTTAAAAACTTCACTTATGCTTCAGCTATACGCTCGGAAGAACAACAGGGATTATATTTTCCCATCCATTATATAAAAATATATAAAGCGCAAATCATCACATGGGTGCTATGACACCTTGTAAACCTGCTTCTCGAATTGTCGTCGATGTTTCTAGAATTCTAGAAGGGTAAGCAGCTACATTCCCAGTATGTGTTCCTGAGGTCTAATATTTGCTAACTGGAACTAATTTTCCTTTAAGAAAAATAACTACAGTTATCCAGCTACTAGCTTGAAGTAAAACACCAAGTTTAAATAAAAAGACTCCTTTTAAAGCTTTCCAACAGCACAGCAACATAGGCCGAGTACAACACTACCTACCGAAACACTGACGTTTTCTTTCTAATAAAACACTCCCTCCAGATAATGTAGCCTTCCAAAAACTATTATTGTGAGCAAAAAGTATTGGTTTTAAATAAAATACCTCTTTCAAACACAAGTAAAAATAATTTTGATTCTCCTACTAATTTTGCTACCCCAAATAAAGGATTCTACTACTGTATCATACTACGTTGTAATATATAGAATATTAACCAGTGAGTGACAGTGGCAATACCTAAAAAAAGAGGAAAATTTGTCATCAAATTTTGAATAAAAAAGCTTGCATTATTGCCGATGAAGTCTTCCATGGACATATACACAACTTCAGAAAAAATCTATCCACTTTACTGTTCGCGACGCGAATCGTACTCGGCCTGAATCTCCTCAGCCGACTTGCCCGACGTCTCCGGAACCAGCTTCAGCGCCAACAGGTAGAAGATCGCCAGAAGCACCACGAACGGAACATACGCGTA